GTGGTCATAGCTCGAAAGCTCTAGGAGGAGATAGATTTTGATTTTAGTCTCAGAAGAAGAAGAAGAATAATATATAAAAAAATAATAAGTTTAAATAGGATTTCAGTAGTCTGGCTTGTTTCTCAAGCCAGCCTAATAATAATAATAATATTAAAAGTGTAAAAATACATGCTGTTATTGGAGTCTGACAAGTAAATCATGATGAGAAAAATATATTATTTGGTTAAACAGTAGTACTAAAGATTACTACGTATTTAGAGTATGCTACGAGTACTAAGTATTAAGATCTTTATATTATATTAACATTTATTTACTATGATTGCATAGGAATATATAATGATAACCAAGTATATCAAATATTCAAGTAAATACAAGTAAATCAATATTGATTATAAAATATCTTATATAAATTATGAAATAGTACTCCTGTTTTAAAAATAATAATAATGATAATAATGAATTATGGAAAAATATAATTTTGTAGTACTACATAATATTAAGATCATTACAAACCGTATATTAAGATTTTTCATGAATATTGCATAATTAATTTTATCAATATTAATAATAAAATCATCTTTTACAAATATTACAGAAGGAATTTTCATCATTTTGTATATAATAATGATAACCAGGTATTTTTAAGTGTTATCAATATTAATTATTAATGTTTTTTATATAAATTAAGAAATAGTACTACTGTTATTATAATAACATTAATAAAAATAATAATAATAATAGTAGTAATAATAATAATAATAATAATAATAATAATAATAAATAGGAAAATATTTTGTGGTTAAATAGTAATAAATAATATAATTATAATAATCTTAATAATAACATTTTTAAATCTTATTATTGGATAAGAATATAATAATGATATTTAAATATTATCAATAGTTAATATAACATTTAAATGTTGTAAATTATGAAAAAGTACTCCTGTTGTAATAATAATAATAATAATAATAATAATAATGATAATAATAATAATAATAATAAATTCTGAAATAAATATGATTTGGTTAAATAGTAATAAATAATATTAAGATCATTACAAATGGCATATCAGCATTTTTTACTGTATGAGAATATAATAACGATGACCAAGTGTTTTAAATATTATATATATTCATCATAAAATATGGCATATAAAAATAATATCTGTTACTATTATTATTTAATGCTGTTATTGGATAAACTACGACGATAAAAGATATTAAAGCATCAAATATAATCAGCACACACAGGGATCATCTCCGGTCCGTCCTGCGCAACAGAGCTTCATCTGTCACATCGTGTGTTTGATCTCACTAATCATACAGAGACGATTACAGGGGACGATCTCTCATTATCGCAATGCTTTTCCTGCTAAGCTAATGATAACTGCAAAATTGCTGCATCCTAACTACAGAGCTAAATATAACTCAAAACACAGAAAACAGCTGCTTAACAGATGTTTGCAGAAAGCGTAGGCATGATTTCGAAGATGGGGTGGTAATTACACACACATCGACGTGATATCATAAAGCATCACTGCATAAATCTGATAAATCTGTCAAAATGGCAAACATCGAACTTTTAGGAAGTGAAATCTTCTCTTATGTAGGAGGCTCTTATCACTTTATCTAGCGGAACAAGCTCAAAATGTCAACATCAATCTGACTGGCAAATATTTAGTACGTGTGAATGGTGAACATAACTCATTATTCAACACCTAAACCACATCTGTGAGGAACTGCGGCTATTTTTACACAAATGCAAATGTCACATTGCAAATATTCTCATTTTATTTAATATTTCTTGTTGACGCTTAAGTTAACCTCGGTTTTACTGTAATAATTAATGTATGTTATAAACATATTGTGTGGACTCAAGCTGTGGTCAAGTTATTTTTTCTTGTGTGAGCTTGTAAAATGAACAGACGTCCAGACAAATAGACATACAGTTGAAGTCAGAATTATTAGCCCCCCTTTGAATTTTTTAAAAATGTTTTTGAATATTTCCTAAATGATGTTTAACAGAGCAAGGAATTGTTCACAGTATGTCTGATAATATTTTATCTTCAGGAGAAAGTCTTAGTCTTGTTTTATTTCGGCTAGAATAAAAGCAGTTCTTAATTTTTTCAACACCATTTTAAGGTCAAAATTATTAGCCCCTTAAGGGTAATTTTTTTCAATATTCCACAGAACAAACCATCGTTATACAATAACTTGCCTAATTACCCTAACCTGCCTAGTTAACCTAGTTAACCTTGTTAAGCCTTTAAATGTCACTTTAAGCTGTATTGAAGTGTCACAAAATATCTAGTCAAATATTATTTACTGTCATCATGACAAAGATAAAATAAATCAGTTATTAGAGATGAGTTATTAAAACTATTATGTTTAGAAATGTGCTGAAAAAAATCTCTCCGTTAAACAGAAACTGGGGGAAAAATAAACAGGGGCTCGAATAATTCAGAGGGCTAGTAATTCAACTTCAACTGTATATATGAACCTTATAGAACAGTTTTAAACCAAAACAATGAATATATTTGAAGCTGCTTTTTATATTTTAAGTTATTTAAAACATAAATATAGATGTATTTTTCATTATTTATATTTTTATCTCAGTTTTAATGTAATAACTCATGTATGTTGTAACTATAATGTCGGACACAAGTTATGATAAGCGTCTATTTTTTAATTGTCTGAGCTTGTAAAATAAATAAA